ACAATTCAACAATACCAGTTGATCATTTAGGAAGCTTGCACAATAAATATGTATCATTATTTATTAATTTGCTTTTTAAGGAAACCTACATATCAAGTGAATGACAATGAGTTCCTAGTTCATTTCTGAATGTTGGCGAATGGGGGCGCTTGTTCCTTGCCTTCCACTTCTTGCATGTGCATGTATGAGCTGTGCTCGATGATGGAAGAAATGTGTGATTATGGATGGGAGAGGCGCCCAGAGAAAATGAAGGCTGTTGATCTGCGGGGGCCTCTCATTTCATACAAAAAATTCTGTCTTCCCACAATTCATAAACAGAATTTATCTCTCCGTGCATCCGAAATAAGTTATAACGTTAAATGTGTATTAGAGATGATGTTTTTTTTTGTTTCTTTTGAATAAAAAATTTGGGGGGCCCTATTAGTCGGGGCCCGGGGCATGTTGTCCCAGCTGCACCCCTGCAGTGTGTCAATAAAGCAGAATGACACCTACTTCTCAAGACCAACGTCTTATGAAAACTAATCTGATCCAGCATTTAAGTCTCCCACTCCAGTTTTACTTGAATATCACGGCAAAGCCCGTATTACATTGTTACAAGAGTTGAGTGTAGTGGGCATACTTCAACTGTTTGTACACAGAAGTAGGGAGAATATAAATTGGGATTTCCAAATTCGTAAGTTGGAATACTTTTCGCAATTGTAACATATTTTTCTTTGTTCGTTTTATTTGTCAGAGTATCTAATGAAGAGGCAGTTTTTGGCACCGGCTCAACCACATACATTCTTTAAGACTAGAAAAGATAATTTTGAAACGTTTTTGGTTGGTAAAATATTGTATGAATTCTAGACTCCCCAAAACGTTTAAAATATGTAAATGTGTCATCTCTAGGATTAGCTTTCCGGTGTTTCATCACTAGCTCTTCAGACTCGTCAAAAACGTGAATTTTCGATTGTATTTTACACCAATAACATTCAACTTCTTTTTCCATCTTCTTCCTGGATCACCTTTTATTTTTCCACTTGCTATTTGAACATAGTACAGATTTTCAAAATTATTTTTTTCTTCTTTCCATGCTCAATGAAAGTTATGCAATTTTTGCCAATAAATTGAGTAATGGTTTTTCCCAAGAGTGTTGTGTTCATGTTCAACTGCCGTTCTTCATCAAAGTTCAAGGAAAAGGTCTCATGTTTTCTAAGAACGTAAATAATAGGAGCTATTCTTATATTCTCGTTCAGCAGGAAGAGTAAATTGAAACGCTATTTATTGAGAGATGTATAAGAAAAATCTAGTATTATAGTATTGCTGTTTTGTGTACCCAAATAGCATACCATTTTAAAGAAATTGTAGTAACATAATGTTGAGCTTGCGTGTACTTACTCGAGAATCGCCCCATCCTGCAACAGAGCAGAGACTTCCTCTGTTAAAAGTCCGGTTGTTTTGCAGTTTGACGAGTTTTACGTTCTCCTTGCCCAAAGGCATCGAGCGATCGACCTAGAAAAGAAATTAAGGTCATTTTATTCACGCTACTCATGTGTTACAATGCGAGTATCCACACGTGGGCGGAGGAGTGGGGTCTCCCTCGCGTTTTACTGGCCAAAAGAAAATGACCTTTCTATGTCCAATGTTTGAAGTCTGTAATTATTGAAAGTTTTGAAGTTTTAATCGAAGTACTATTACTACACATACGAGTACAGTATTCTCTGTTCGAACAAGGAATTAAACAATAAAAATGGATGCGTTTTGACCAAAATTTTGAAAATATAGTACGACCTTTCACATACAGTGTAGTAAAAGTACGCATACACCCCTTAAAATTAAAAGATTTGTTTCGAATTTGTAAGGCCGTGAATTGGGCCCGATGAGTCTGTCTTGTTAGTTAAGTGTGATCGACCTGGGTATATTAATTTTGGAGAAAAATCATATATGTGATTTCGGCATTTGTGTTACACAAAAACATGAACACATTGACTGGTACATTCGTAACCTATAACTTTCGTAAGACTTCGTAACTGAACCCAAGAAATGAGAAACTGAAGTGGTCAATAAAACCCTGGCTTAAACGCTTGATGATAAAAGGTTCTTAAAGCCAAAAGCATAGAAACCTCGATGATTTTATGTGTGATGAAATAATTCCCTGAAATTTTTGATTGTGTTGATGATTAGTCTAATCTTCAGTACCTAATATAAGATTAAACAAATATTAGTACTTCTCTGCTTATCATTGTGACGGAAAACTGACGTATCCTTCCACTACTTGTTACGCCATGTCCCTCTTAATATCGAAAGCACACGAATTCGCTCATAATATGAACAATGAATGTGAGAAGTAAGATATCGTACATTTGTGTGAAAATTTCGGGGTATGTAGACGCATTCACCAGAGATGAATATCTACTGGTAACAAAACTCGAGTTTTGTAGAAATATGCTATGTTTTTAATGTAGTACCACAAAATAGTTGCGTAAATTTAATGCAGTTACGATTGAAAAAAAAATGTTTTCATTCAAAAATGCGTAATTCAGTATATGTTTCAGTTAGAAAAAAACACATTACATCTTTTGGTTGCAGGGATGTGGGACGAAGCGGGTGTGGTGGGAAGAGCAGAAAATAAACACTACGACGACACCGGGTAATCATCTGGTAAGAATACTAATACTGAGCAGAATTATACTTTTCTAGGAAAATACCTTTTTGTTGACTTAAAGTTATTCGGTTTAGTATAAGACATGCAACTTCTTTCGAATAACATATTCCGAACGAATATGAGATTCTGTTTGGAAGAAATGTGTGATGTGTGGTGAAGCCTATTCATGTAAGATACTCCTAGAGAAAACGATAAATCATGAAAATATTATTGTCCACGCACTACAAAACTTGCTTCTTGTTTTATACATAATTTACCGGGCAAAATAAGATGGTGAATAAGGTATGAAAAGGGAAAATGGAACGATTATAACAAAAAAGTCATTGCTTTCAGAAATCTTGATTTAAAAATGTGTGTTTTGTTTTTGATTGTTTAATAACATAAGAATTGAGGTGATACTCAAACTGTATATTAAATACTTACCCTTTTATTTCAGTTTTTCTAAATGTACGTACTGATTGTTTTACAATTTATTATTTATTGTTAGATCTCAATATATTCAAACGTAATTACGATTCCTCAGCAAATATCCATATGATTGTATTAAATACGCGATAGAATTACTTGACTTTCCTTCACATCTCCAGCAGTTTAGTTATTTGTATAGAGTGGTTTAAGTGGTACACGTTTCTTATATAAGCAGCCTGTTAATGAATAGTATCAAAGATTTCCTACTTTTGCATAACATCACAATTTTATGAAGTGATTATTTGCGAACTATCAACTACGATACTCACCATGAGAACGGCGATATCAGCATCAACATCTTCCCATGATTTCTTGGAATATAACGTCTGGCGGATTATGGTGAAGTTAAGCGCTTTGCGGTCGAAGCGATTCATGCTTCCTATTACTGCCATTTTCTTCACCACGTTGGATCTGCGTTCATAGAGATTGGTGATAGTGTCTTCAAAAGCAATAGAAAAATAATCCGTACACCTGGGTTTTGTGGGAAGTTATTATTGCCTGCAGCTTTTCTATAACATTTTATTATTAAAGATTAATATTACGAAAATCTAGATATACTTATATAAATATATACTTTAGAACGAATAGCTAATCCGATCGACGATGAAATGCTCGTCTTTGAAATCATTGCTTGAAAAGTGACAATAGCTTCCCAATGGAATTTTACTTCGAATGGCCAGATCCTCAACTGCGCTAGCATTACAGGTCATATAGTATTTATACATTCTAATGTTGCTAAGTGTTGATTAAACATCCGTGTTACACAGAATATCAAATGGTCAGTTTTATTTTGCAGAGATTTGGAGATTCTTTTCGTTTGTGACTCCCCGTAATAGGGAACGAGAGAACTCAGGAGAAGTAAATCTCCAACAATTATTTTTATGGGAAAAGGGTCTCGTTTTGATGAATATGACCCACAACCCACCTTGAACTATGTGATAACCACATGTGTCCCTCCGTATGTTTCCTCATATGGTTTCTACATGTTCTTCAAATTGTTCTTTACTTGATTTCTTGCATATTTACCTGAAAATTTCTCCCATTGTTCCCTCTTGTTTTCGAAGTGTGCCCCAGCTTGTTCACCAATAAGTTTCCTGCATGTTCACCAATATGTTTTCATACGTTCTCCACATATTTCTCAGCAGTTGTAACAGGAAATTCACATATTTATTTGGTTTTTCGAACTCGTACAATTCTAAATTTTACGCTGTCGGACAGTGCACGGGTTTTCTGGTGGTAGAAACGAAAATTCTGACTAGCTATGGAATCAGAAAGAGTCCCATTAAGTAATCTCAAAAAATGGTGTGCAAGATCACAAAATACTAGATTTAAAAAATGCGACCAGCAAAAGATTTACTGTGCTGTGCACATAGTTATGAGGGTGAAAATATGTATGTACTGGAATCCAACTTAATTTATGAAAACTCAAATTTATGAAAGGGGGTAAGGGGTACGTACCTCAAAAGGGTAATAGAACTCTTTATTAGGTCTAGTTGACGGCACTAGTAATGCCGTCATGTGATTGAAGTTGTAGGTAGTTGAACAAACGTAGCGCACGTGCAAAGTAAATGCTTGAAGAGAAATGCTTGAAGAGAAATGCTTGAAGAGAAATGCTTGAAGCATTCGGTCGGCCTAGTACCAAGACCAAATAGAACAATTGTAGTTGATGTTGATAAGAATTATCTAAAATTCCTTCGCCTTTCCATCAGGGTTGCGCTGGCTTTCCCAGTTTTGAAGAATAACCAGGCCTATTGCACTCTGAAGGGTTTTTGTGTTAGCGTCTGCCAAATGATACAAAACTCATCTCTAATTACAGTATATTTTTGTCATCTTTAATTATGGTAATATGTATAGAGGAGATATTGCCTTTTCAAAACGTCAAATGGTGTACGCTTGGTTACAATACAAATTATATTAGTGTCTTGCATTGCTTTGTTTAACTACTTGCATGATTATGAAGGTGACTAGCCCTTTTCCTAACCGCAAAAATTGCCAACGCCCTCGTGATATTTCCACACAGATAGGATGAGGTTGGCGATGGGGACTAGAATAACACAAAAATGCTGATATCGTCACCGCATTATTCCTGTAGAAAGAAAGGAAATTGAGAATTTTTTGAATTGTCCAATTTTTACCTTAAGTGTGCTGTAATGTTCTGAGTTATACTGCATTGTATTTCAATGAATGATTTTAATATCAAGTGCTTTAACAGCTTACCTAATTTCTATTTGAATTTATTTCTGTATACACGTCAACTGCTTTTTCTGAACATTCCATTTTTTTGGAGAAAAATAAACCAAATAAGTGTCGAACTTACAAATAATACTTTCATGCGTAAAATATTTGTTGAATTGAATTTGCCTTATTTTACGTGGCGAGACTCGGGCCATCAGGCCCGCTCTTCCGTCTGACCACGCAAATTTCGCGACGCTCCTTTCACCGACTAAGAGAAAGGAGGTATTCCTTGGGCGAGAAACAGGCGATTTGAATTTAGCTCAGAGGCGTCATTTAGGCTTGAGGATCTTTTACATGCAAGTAAAATCTACGAACATGGGACAGCCGGCTTTACTTCCCCTCCGAAGGAAGGCGTACGAAGGATTTTTTCGCCCTTAAAAATCCACGGCTTCGATCGGGTTTGAACCCGCCAACTTGGGTACAACAGTCCAGTACGCTAACCATTACACCATCGCCGCCGCCATTGTTTGGTAACAAAATTTAAACAGTATAATAAAATTACTTGAGTTACTATTATTTCAACTATCACCTCTACGTAATCGAAAGCGATAAACTTCCAATAAGCTTCTAAATGTCAGTCGTTTATAAAATGTCAATTATTGAGCCAATGCATTAAATTAACGATTGCTGGCTAGGATCAATGAATAGATCGATGTAACTAGAACTGTGAAAATTCAGTTACAGCGAATAAAGTTCGTAATTGTGAAAATAACCTTTTTATTTCACCAGGGAATAAAGACGTTGCCGATGGAGTACAAAATTATAAATGATGCTTTACAACGATAATGTATATCAGTAATTTATTGTAAAATTGAGTAAAATTGTTGGGACAAAAATACAATATAAGAAAAAAATTGGGCAAAAACGTTTAAATGAAAACTTTTAATGCTGAACCGGAACCATCATTTGATATTTTATAGATTTTTTTTTCAAGGAGACACATTTATACATTTCAGAACGCGTTGTGTTATGTGACGTTTTTCAGCGGTGTAATGATTAATATTTTGCAAGAAACTAGACCCATTTGTCGTAGAGAATAAGAAATAAACCAGCATGAACGTAGTGATATTATATAAAAAAACTGCATAGAAAGTGAGAATGTTACTGAACCGGGTGGAAGAGAATTTAAAATCATATATATTAAAGTTAATAGATATTTGATAACAATAAATTCTTAAAATTTCTAATTTCATAACTTACTAATTATTGGATTCCAGAAAATTAATTCCATTTAATACAGACGCCATTTGATAAAAGGCTTAGAAGTAAATAATTTTATATCTATAAATTCCTTTGAATTGAGTACTTTTAAACTATGAGTTCCTTAATATCGTAATGGCTATATTATTTTTAAAAGCTCCGAGTCCACTTTCACGTATTACGACTATTTTCACGGAACTGAAAATTGCAATTCTCAGCAAAGGCGGAATGTTGTGTTTACTTATTCACCGCGCTCGCTTTGCACTGGTAGACTACATAACATGCGACTCACTTATCGACGCAGTGCGCTGCCGTCAAGATGTGCCGTACGCCGATAATAGCGCCTCCACAGAAGTCTACAGTACCATTCCTTAGGAAGACGCGGAGATACACCTGGGAAAAGAAAAAAAACTGGATCTGAGCTTCCCAGTTACAGTTTTATGCAAACAATTGGAAAAGATAACTCGAGAAAACCAAACATATCTCAGTACTATCTTCTTTACTTCTTTATTAAATAATGTTTGTATTTTATAATAACAAAAAGATAATTTCTTTTGATCAATTCTTAATATGTGTTCTGATAAATGTTGAAATCTTAATTGTTACTTTAAAAAATTACATTTTTAAGTCACAGTTCTCTAAATTTCTATGCAATGGAGTGGTATACTGTATTTTGGTGCATGTTATTGGCATTCCCAAGTATTTTTTTCTCTTTTTCTAGTCTTAAGTCAATTCACAAGAAAGTGAATAAGTTGAGGTACAAGTGACGAATACGTTTAAGGTACCAGGAACTTGTAATGCTACGCAAAGCGTTCGTAATAGATATTTACTATGACTCTAAAAGTAAACTTGACAATTTTTGCAGCTACTCTGCAGAGTAATTCAGTTTTAATTATTGTAAAATGCTGCATCATGAACATTAAGAATAGCAATAAGCTGTATCATTCATTTTTAGATTTATTTTCAATGTTAATGCATCTTCACTCCTACTAATTGTTTCCTGATTATTTTCCGTTTGACAGCTACGGATGATATTCCAGAAAATAGAATAAGAAAACATGAATGAACATGCATAAATCAATTTTTTGTATACTAACATTATAAGTTACTTTTTCTGTTGCAAGAAGTCGTTCATAACAGGGCATTTTACAGCACAAAATGATGACATATTAGCGTTTACGGCACTGATGATTGCGCCATCACACATTCCGCCAATCACAGCGAGAGAGTCATGGGGAGGTAGCGGTATGAAGAACAGCCGAACACCGTTTTCTCGCAGGTCAAATTCCCGAGACCTCTTTAGAAAGTTGTTCCGCAAAATTAAATTTGATTTCCTTGAACATTTGTAATTTGTTACACAAAAGAATAGTGTATGCAATTCGTTTATAATGTAGCATTATTGCCTTCGTTTTCAAAATACATACTCATACAATAAAGCTTAACGTGGTAAACATTGCATATTTCTATTAGTTCCTTTAATGTTAAATGTAAATTGGAATGAGTGGATATCTTATTTCATTCATAATTTGCTGAATATCAACTATATCCGTGTTCTAAATGAAGAGTTCTCACAAAGTGAAGCTTTTATTTGAGGAAATCCAGAACAAAAGGCCTGGTTTATATATTCAAATGACGTGATGATCCTACGTCACTATGAGTAACAACGTTACTCAGAATTTTTACATTCTATTGTTGTAACATTTTTAAATTGAATTATCTTTAAGCATATCTCCCAGAAAAAAGCTGGAAAAATATCTTCACGATAAATCACATTCTAAATTAACATATACTAGTACATACCTCTATTCACATCTGGCGAAAATGATTCTCTTAATAATGGAGTTACATATGCGTTTGTGAAGTCCTGCAGAATACTCCCTTTTATTGTAAATATGGAAACTCACTACATTATAGTGTGTAACGCCCACTATTTTATCTATCATGCCACGTGCCGTCGTATTTGAATAATGAAATATTTTACATGATAAGCCTTACCATGTTCGACGTCACATAATTCATAGAAAGTGACTGATACGTAAATTAAATTTTAGCATTTCCTCTAAAATAATATCTACATTTTGCTTCTTCTAGCCTTTCGCGTGTCACACTGAATAGAAATGCACTTATTAGAGTCATGATTAATTGTTCTGAATTCAATAGATACTTATATATGAAGCTATCCAACTCCCAATTCAAGTTCCACTGATTAAGAATATTTAATTTTTTTAAATATGATTCGAATATGTGTGGCCCTTTGTCAACCGTGCCTATCCTCCAGACTTGACCTTGGCTTGCGAAAGCGTTTTATCTGCACCACCCGTAGACGTACGAAGCTTGAAGTACATGGAAAATGCTCTCTTACTGGTAGAGAATCTGCTCTGCTGTGCATACTTTCCCTTTGAACTAGGAAAATGCGTGCGGCCCTATTCTGCCTTCTGAAAACTATCGTTCAGTCAGTATTTTAAAAAAAATCACTGGAGAGGAAATGGCTTTATTCGGAAACATGGATAAAAGTGCGTCAAACGGAGGTAAATACTTTCAACACGTGGCGTACGTTATCACAAATACCACGCTACAAAAATTTCGTAGAATTTATCACAGTACGTAGTTTCACTTATGTTAGTGTTAGCTGTATATTATTAAAATGCAATACAATATGTGTTTTGAAAATTACAGGGGCATTACGAGACACAAAATAATTTGGAGATATTTTTGAGAAAATTTTGAAATTTTATTCAGCGCCTATCAGCGTTTCTAAAGAACCCCGAAAATTACGATTCGTTTTGAAGTTGAGGGACAGCGAAATCACTCACATCGATTGTGGAATAACAATTTTGGTAAAAATTCTGGGTATGGTTTATGCGCTGGTGTTGTTCACAGGCAGACGTTTCGAAAGAAACAGTTTTTCGGTATCAGAGACCCCAATTTGTGTGCTTCTGTCAAAATGTTAGCATCAATTTTTTGCAACATTACACATATTTCCCTGAATTCTCTATACGAGTGTAAATAAATCTCAGTGCGTGCTTAGCAGTTACAAAAGTATCTCAAATAAAATATCTGAAATATACCTGAAATGTTTACGAATGTCTCACAATAAATGTTAAAACTTTCTAGAACATTCAAGTTGTTGCCCGTAAAATCTGGTGGTGCCGACAGGTCGTCTCAATTTACGACCAATCTACGATTCATACTGTTTATTTGCTTAGATTTCCCATTTTTTCCGATTGCTGACTATTCATGAAGTTTTATACATCAGTAAAGTACCTAAATATACAACTCGATTTCGTATGCCATTTAATTATTAATAAATAGTTTTGGAATACACTGATGAACATGCTCTCTGCAGTGACGTCTAAGGAGTGTTGCCAATATGACCACACCAAAGCCAAGTATTGGGAATAAAAAAATGTTTTCATCATTATTGCAGTAGACACTAATTTCATGTATAATGTTCTAATAATAACTTCATTTGTAAGACTTTATTTAAAATACGAAACATGTTAAAGGTTTTCTTGAACACACACGTTTTGTTATTTGTAACAAACCATATTTTAAATTATTAATATAAAAATAAAAGTTGGCCCTTCATGTAAAAGTACAAGATTGTTCCTTTAAATTAAAAAATAATCTTGTTTCTGTGATTATTGGTTTGGGATATAGGACCCTTCAAATATACCCCCACACCCTACAATCCGTAGAAAAAAGTTGGGCATAGACTACGCCCTGAATGTGCTGAAGATTGCAAGGAGACAAAGATGATTACTTTTCCCAATGAACTGATGATGAGAAAATTGATGTACCCAAGTCACACGAGCGATGTTTGCCCTTGTGGGCCATCGTTAGTGCTTGGCAGACAAATTCTGACGCGGTCGGAGATATTTTGTATTCCTGCCAAGCACCGAGGCATGATGGGTTGCCTATCACAGAGGAGTTACTCTAACAAGGGGCCACTTTGACATGTCTCGACGCAAATGCACGTCCTGTAGGGCGACGACATTGCAAGAGATAGTGATGAAGGAAAGTACAAATTAGGTAACTGTAAACGAACGCAGAGACAAAATGAGTGCGTGGACATAATTCGCAATTATGTTCCAGCAGTGGTCAAGCAGTAGCTCTCAAAGCGATCTCTTCTTATAATCATCTCTCCATAATCGAGGGTATATATATATATATATATA